TCACGATGATTAACTAGTTAACTAGCATCATTCTTGTTTAATAAAGAAAAAACAACTGACAAATTCAAAGAATGTATTCTTTCACAATGTGACACTGTCCCTATCCCTTGCTTATAAACAAAAACTGAAACAAAAGCTAGAACATAAGAAATATTATTAGGTATTTCAAAATACAGACCAAATTCTTAAACATTATAAATTGGTTGGGTAGTAATGCAGAGCTTCTATATAAAAATGCTACAGGAAAGAACTAGAAAAAAAATCTAAAATGCACTGTTAAAACACTAACTCTAAGAACTATTTTACTAGAGTTTTAGAAAGATGACAGTAAGTCTTGTCTATTACAAGTCATTTCCATCCTACCAGAGCCATATGCCTCTTCCAGCTGCTGTGAATCCTCAGAGTTGAAAGGAATCCATGTCTCCTTAGAATCTATAATCTTACAATAGAACCAATGAGGAGAAACTGGTTCATACAAACTGCCAGCATCCATGTCTATTAGCTCAAAGGAACTGCAAGACTTTGGTGATGGAGATGGATCTGGCTGGGACAGCCGTTCCTGGTGTGAGTCCGCTGACATTTCGCTCTCTAAAATACAGGATACAAGAAATCTATCAGAAAAATGATTTTCTTTCTCTTAACAGCTTGATTGTTGACACACACATAAAACTGGTCATTTTAGGGAATCATTTCTGCAAAAACAACAAAACGAAAATAATTTAAGGAGGCTACACATTTTGAAATAGAAATAATAAATTAAATAGGGGGAGTCTAGTAACCATAATAATGTTCAAGTAATTGTACATTAACGATACCAAAATAAAACATTTTTTTAATTTAAAAAATTTAAAAAAGGAAATAATAAATTAACAGCTGGATTTTTGGGGGAATGGCGGGGAGGGCTTTAAACAATACTCCTTATAGATCAACCACTTTACACTGATTTCCCAATTTTCTCAGAAAACTGCCTTATTTTAATCAGATAACAAATTATAAAGCAAACCCAGAATCACAAGAAACACGCGGTCAAAAACTGGATTGCAGCAAAACTTGCCCAATTTCTAATCTAAGTCTAGTGTCAAAGACAAAACATTCACTCCAACTGTTTAACAACACCCAGGTGTAGGCTCCAGTCCCATACCGTATGATTGTTGGAACCTTAAAATATTTAAAAGAATACTTTTTACTTAAGAACCAGTCACTTCTTACCGCTCCTTTAAGTGCATTTAATTAAGGACCACGGTACAAATTCTGGAAACACGAACCCTTGCTAGGGCCGCTATGCGCACGCGCGCATCCCCTCTGGGTCCAAGTCTCAGGTGAAAAACAAGTGACCTCAAAAGCCTCCTGCCTTCAAAGACTCCAACCCCTCAAAACATGGACCACAGGCAGGGTCAGAAGCTACTCAAGCAGCCGAGGCCGGTGGGCCCGATTACCAGTATCTGGGCTGCAAACACCTGGCCTCCCGAGCGGACGCTCTCCAAGCTACCGGCGCCTTACCTTCTTTCCCAGCACAAACTCCCCGCAGCCACCCTAGCGTGCCCCTTGGCCCCAAGACCCGGGCCTCCTGCAGCCCAGATCTGGGACCTCCGAGCTCGAGGACTCGGCTCCTCCCGCCTCCAGCTCCGCAGTCGAGCGGAGTCACCAATGGTCACAGGGTAATTTCCCGGCGCATCTGCTGGAAAAGGGGCCCTGG